CACACACACACACACACACACACACACACGTACTTGTTTGTAATGTTGCTTTCATAAAGATGAGAAACTGAAGTGTTTCAGTGAGTTAAAGATGAGGGTCTTTTACTCAGACACTGAGTGAACTATTATTATTATAATATTATTATTATTGTTATTATTTATATATTTATTACTATTATTATTATTTTATTATTATTATTTTATTTATTATTATTATTATTATAATAAATGTTTTAATAATGTTACACAGTTTAATAATGTTAATGATAATAATATTAAATAAAATAATAATAAATAAAATAATAATAATAAAATAATAATAATAGTAATAAATATATAAATAATAACATTAATAATAATAATAATATAATAATAATAGTAATAAATATAATAATAATAAATAAAATAATAATACTGATGATAAATATAATAATATTAATAAATAAAATAATAATGAAATAATAATAATAGAAATAAATATAATAATAATTATTAATAAATAAAATAATAATAAATAAAATAATAATAGTAAAAATAAATAAATATAATAAATAAATAAATATAATAATAAATATAATAAATAAATATAATCTTAAATACATAAATAATAACTCATTTTATTTAAAGCACATTTAAATAAAGTCACTGTGCCTGTAGAACATGTATTTCTGAACATGTATAATATTCCAGCACACAGCTGTATTATACAGTATCCTGATGAAGCAGCCTCTGCTGTAATCAGACATGATGAAGCGCTGGTAATACACTGCAGTGAGAGGAAAGCCCACATTAGTTTCTGACACACAGTGAGTGTGTGATCTGATCTGCTCAAACACACGTCCACACACTCCTGCATGAGTTCACACACTCCGACTGTGTTCAGTACAGTGCTACAGCTACAGCTCACCTGTGTCTGTCTGCCTGCCTGTCTGTCTGTCTGTGTGTGTGTGTGTGTGTGTGTGTTTGTGTGTGTGTGTCTGTGTTTCTGCTTTTCTGAGTGTGTTCTGATGTTCAGCGTGTCTGTGTTTCTGCATCACTGTGTGTGTTTGTGTGTGTTTTCTGTGTTTCTGTCTGTGTGTGTGTTCCTGCATGTCAGAGTGTGTGTTTCTCTGTGTGTTTGTTTGTTCTGCGGCTTCACGATACAGCATCAGTGTGTTCAGGGGATCCTCACACTCAGTGTGTATAGCTGATGCTGAGTCCCCTGTCTTTATTAATATCACACACATCAGAGCTCTGAGTATTATTCAGTGAACATGTTGATCCAGTATCTTGTGAGGAGTCATATTAAGAAACAGTGTTTGTATTTGCACCCCCCCCCCAATAAAAAAAACAACAACAAATAAATACAAGATTTTTATTATATGAATCAAATTGTAGAATAATGAGGTGATGAATGATTGATGCTGGAAGACGGATATCTGTGTCAGTATTGCAGAGCTCTAACAGCTCAGAGGAGTTCAACACTGAACACACACACACACACACACACACACAGGCCTGACCTGGAGCATCTGCAGCACAATAGTACACACTTCAGAACACAGAGACATTTACACACACTAGAAGAGGAAAAGAAGCACACTATGAAGAAAAACACACGTTAAAGCCATTACTCCCATTACATGAATCATAAACAGAGCCTCAGTCTGTAGTGAACACTGTAGTGCACTCAGTAGTGTGCAGTGTGTGCTTCAGCCAGATGACCTCTGTCACACATACACAAGCTGATGATCTGTACATTAACGATCTGTGTGTGTGTGTGTGTGTGTGTGTGTGTGTGTGTGTGTGTGTGTGTGTATAGTACATCAAGCAGAGGCCGGTGGAGGAGTCTCATTATCAGGTAAAAATCTGCCCTCTTCTTGACACTCCGTCTGTTGTGTGTGTGTGTGTGTGTGTGTGTGTGTGTGTGTGTGTGTGTGTGTGTGTGTGTGTGTGTGTGTGTGTGTGTGTGTGTGTGTGACTGTATATTAACGCTGTGTTTGCTGTTTTCAGGCCATTGATAAACTGGGGAAGTCTGAGTATGCCACAGCCAACAGAACCCAGCGCGGCTCGGAGGAGGGCATATCTGGAGTCAGTCTATACTCTACACCATCACAGATATACTGTAGTAAAGCACAGTAAACACTGCAGTGATCTTCACCATACTGTAGTACAGCACTAGAACTGATCCGCTGTGGTGATTCTACAGTTGCTATAGCAACACAATATGTACAGTAGTATATAGGAATGAGTGAGTGCTGTGGGTTTCTCCAGCTCTGGGTATATTACACTGCAGCACAGCAGTTTACTGTAGTAAAGTCTGGAGTACACTACTGCAGTGGGTCACTATAGTGAACACTAGAGTATGCTGGAGCCGTCACATGACTAGCAGATAATATATGCAGTGATGAGCCTGTACTACAGCCCGACACAGACACACTGCAGTGTTCACTATGACTAGAGGATCTGCTCATGTGGACAGCAGCAGCATTAGCATTTATTAGTACTGTTATTATCACACACACACACACACACACACACACGACAGCCTCTGAACTCTCTCTCTCTCTCTCTCTCTCTCTCTCTCTCTCTCTGTGTGTGTGTAACAGGGTCGCAGGCGTGCAGATGAGACGTACACGGTAAGCGCAACAGGAAGGAAGTGTTTTATCAGTGTTAAAGTAATGAAGCTCACTGAACACACACACACACACACACACACACACACACACACACACACCTGACAGAGTTTCCAGAGATGGGCAGAAAATACCCGATTAGCTGATCTGAAGTCAGATAACAGCAGCTAACACTCTCCGAGACCCTCACTGTCTGCTGTTACACAAGTGCTACAAAACTACACAACTACTCCACAATCACACCACACCTGCTACACAACTACTACACAATGTGCTTTGGAAAAAATATGATGAGTGTGTGTGTGTGTGTGTTTTTCATCCTTGTGTGTGTATTTTCTCATGTGTGTGTGCGTGTGTGTTTTTCATCCTTGTGTGTGTGTGTGTGTGTGTGTGTGCGTGTGTGTGTGTGTGTGTGTTTCAGCCTCTGACCAGGAAGGGGGACGACACGTACCGTGAGCTGGAGACCAAGGGAGATGTGAGTGTAATGATGAGTGTGTGTGAGATCTGATGATGATGATGATGATGTGTGTGTGTGTTGTACATTAGTGTGTGTATAAACACTGACGGTGTGTTTCTCTGGTGTCCATCAGCGCCGGCGGCAGGATCAGCTCTATCAGGTCAGATCACAACACTGAGCATCAGCTGTGTGTGTGTGTGTGTGTGTGTGTGTTTTCTCACATGTTTATTTTCTTACTTGTGTTTCTTCTTTTGTGTGTGTGTTTTCTGTATGTGTGTCTGTTTTCTCACGTTCTTGTGCTCACTCATGTATGTGTGTATGTGTGTGTGTAATCTGTTGTCTTGTGTGTGTTTTCTTCGTGCTTGTGTGTGTATTTTCTTGTGTTTTTCATCTGTGTGTGTGTGTGTGTGTGTGTTTTGTCATGTGTGATTTTTTTGTGTATTTTTTTCATGTGCGTTTTCTTGCCTGTGTGTGTTTCCTCCTGCTTGTGTGTGTGTGTGTGTGTATAACAACAATAATAATTTCAACCAGTTATAAATGGAGTAGGATGAAGCACAAGCTCATTATTTTTACCCACCACATTATTCTTAATTAC